ACCTCCAACTGCCCCAGTTCCCCACTCCAGTCGCAGCTGTCGCAGTGATTTGCACACTGGACTGGTAACGACAGGATTTCACGCTGCGCAAACTTGTCTTCAAATGTCTGATGGTGGGAGATGAAATTCATTTTAGATTATTTTATATATGTAAACATTATAATTGATATCGCTATTCTGATTTCTTAGAAAGATGCACCTTTGGTTTCAAAAGGTGGGGTCGACTTGTGAGCCAAGTGGCCTAGTCCACCACGGCTTATCTCGGTTTCAGTAAGACGCAACGATAAGGAATATTATACGTACTCCTTCCGTTCTCCAATTCACAGCTGGGAGCTCCCCTCAATCAATTCGTCAAGTTTACCTGACAGTTTAACTTTCAGGTACTCTTCAACCCTTTAAGAGTGTGTCTCTCTAAAAGCGGTCCGATCGATTTTGCTTGAGACACGGAATTCGCTCATTTCTTGTGTGTTGTAAGACATTCATGTACTTATACTAAAACCACAATCCGTTTGATCGGATCTCTTTAATTTTCAGAGTTTTACGGAAATTAAATTTCACTCGAGCGAAGGCTTGTCGTGACACTTTTCAAGACTTTAATTTCAGACAACTTTGGAGGACAGTTTACAAAAAACTACGCAATAGTCACTCTAAGAGTGACTATTGCATCTAATTCCTCATTACAGTATCACAGCTGAATCAAACATTTAGGTCATGAGAATAATGGAAATGATCAACAAATACGGGAGCTCTTGCCTGTTAAGCAAAATCTCTTTGTCAGCATCTTAGGTCAAACCTCGGTGGACCGTTCATTGTGGAGCCCGGCGAGCTAACCACTCCTGGTCACCTCTCTATCTGAAAGATAGAGACAGCGAGAGTGAACCTAGTTCACCTATAAGTTCAAGATCACTTCCTTCCTGGCCTGAATTCCGTGTGGGTTTGTAACTCAGTTAGTAGTAGCGCCTGACAAGAGTTTATATTAACTGTAATCTATTGCGCCAAACTAGCACAGGTTCGAATCCCGTCGAAAACTGAATTTCTATTTCATGGTTCCTTTTCTCGATTGCTTTAATTGCAGGTTACTTGCGAAGATCGTTACTTCACCTACCGTTTTTAAGTAAGTTTAAGAACATAGCCCCCCGATTAGACAGCGGAGCTTAAACGAACTTCATTTTGTTAGAACTGTACAAAAGAAGGGTTTGGTAGAATCGGTATCCTCTGCAATAAGCAGTTGTCTAAGTTTTTCGACAGGAATGCTGTTTGTTTCGAGTTTGTCTCACCTCTCCGATCTCTTCGCCATCCACTACACACTTTGGAAATGGCGACGTAAAGACAAGATTTGCTTGTAATAAATATCATATCGACATAAAATCTGATTTCTTGATGCTAGACCCATTAAACGCTGCATTTTTCCATGACCGTGCTATGGGCAAACTTCACTACAAGCCCTAAAATTTCCGCTGATGGGATCTATCTGAGCATTTTAATAAGCACAATAGAGCGATATAGTCATAACAGCATTTATACAAAGAAATCTATTCTGGGGATCAAGGAAAGGAAAAAATATTTAGCCAATTCATAAACAATCTTTTCATATATTTATACCTCAACAGTGGCTCCACACATGTCTTGCAATAGCGATGACCGCAGCTCGTCTGAAATGGATCCCTCAGTACCTTTTCACAGTAGGGGCAGAGGTATTTAGCATCAATAGACTTGCCATCCTCGCAAATACAATCACATGTGTAACCAGGCATGATCGATGGATAACTGTGGAACAAATGTCGAATTGAGTTCAGAATTTTGTGTCCTCTTGTCAATATCCTTGGAAAAATTAAAACGTTGATATTAATTATTTTTCAAATAATACCCCGAACACCGGCAGAATTTTACAGCGCTCGTTGAAGAAGAAAAGCTAAAGCTAATTCAATAGAATTAGAATCAATATATTCGCACAACCATAGACCAAGGGAAGATTTAAGTAGATATCATATACCTTAGCTGTCTTTATGACCACGCACTGAAAGAACATAAACATCGTGACACGTTTATAAGTCACGCAGTATTGTGTGACAGACAAGTGTTTGTAATCTACATCTTTGTTTTGTTACCTGCCTCTTCACGCTTACTAATTCGGAATATTTAATGATTCTTGTCTGTTTCAAGTTGTCGCGTTGGAAGCCTTGAAGGACTGTTTGTATTCAATGTAAGCGGTTGAGGGAACGTGAAAGGTCAAATTCATTTAGCTCTCTGTACGTTATAGCTGCTGTATCTCAAAGACAGTAACTAGCGCGAAAACGGGTAAAGTACGAATATTAAGTCTTAGCCAATTTTTGTCTGTCCTTTCTAGAGAAACTGCCCCTAGATAGGTGAGAAGCTCGAAGAAAAACAGATTTAAGACAAAGGCCAGAATTCAGCGTATTTTCAGAGTTGAAGTATGGGAACTTGGAATGAAATCAAATGGCACATTTTGAATATCCATAACACAATACTTTGGTGTTGTCACTAATAACTAAAATAGTCAAATTGGTTAACAGTATCGCTTGAAACTACACTTATTTAAACGTAACTTACCAATTGTACTGTGAAGCAACGCTAAGTCCTGTTAAACCAAGTCCCTGTACAAAGTCACTAACGACTCACTAAGGAACGGCTTCAAGACAGCCTTTTTATAAGGTTGATTTACATAATATTGTTTACCCAATGGCTTGAAGGGGGTTCCCCTCATCAAAACACTAAAGTCCACAAAGATTATACTTGTGTTGGGAATTATCACAAATAAGTAAAGCCAATCATGACTCTTTTATTTTTGTCATTTAAAGGAATGTTTTCTTTTTATTTTATTTCAGCTTTTGCTAGATGGTATTACATGGTTTACCTCTCATGACAATAGAATTAAAGTTTACGCATTACCTGCCAAGGGAAAAACCCCTCCTCGGCTGAAGGGAAATTCCTTATAAATGAAAACCGATTAAATAACAACATGAGAAAAACAAACTGATCAGGTTCCCCTTCTCTAGCAAGGTTTAGTAGACAGTCATGATACAGTTTTGTCCATTATTTAGACATGCCTACGTCTGTTCGATTCATTAAGTGCAGCTACCGCAAATGTCAATTTCTTCCACTTAATATTCTGCGTAGTTACCGTTTCCCTTCCTGTATTATATTTCCTCATTCGTGTTATTTTCGATTTAATTCACGTTAATTGATGGGTATCTTAAGAAACCGCCCTGTGGAAGATTGATTGCATTTCCTTGTGCTTTCAAACAGGATTTTTAGAGCGCTTGATATTAATTCAAAGGTTATTAAAGGTTAAATTCAAAGGCTATTAAGACAAACGCTGAGGGGGTATTTTCCGTTCCACACTGGAGTTTTTTTTCCCGGTTACCAGTTTCATTTTCAGTCCTATTTTTATCCGAAGAAAAACACAACTGAAAAAAATTTTTGTTACAAACCAAACTTCCAAAACTACCCGAGGTCGGAAAATGAAATTTTAAAATGGTAAACCCCCACGGATATTATCAGCGGGGTCAAAAGGCGAAAATATAGCAAGAAAAATTACAATAATTTGTATACATTCTAGAAAGGAGGTGAATCTATTGCTTAGTTTTCCTTGTGATTTCAAACAGGATTTTTGGAGCGCTTGATATTAATTCAAAGGTTATTAAAGGTAAAATTCAAAGGCTATTAAGACAAACGCTCAGGGAGTATTTTCCGTTTCCTGCACTCTGGGGTTTTTTTTCTCGGTCACCAGTTTCATTTTCAGTCCTATTTTTATCCGAAGAAAAAAACTGAACAAAATTTTTGTTACAAATCAAACTTTCAAAACTACTCGAGGTCGGAAAATGAAAATGGAAAATGGTAAACCACCACGGATATTATCAGCGGGGTCAAAAAGCGAAAATATAGCAAGAAAAATTACAATCATTTGCATACACTCTAGAAAGGAGGTGAATCTATTGCTTAGTTTTTATTTTTCAAATATTATAAGGTTTGCTAGGTACGTTGAGGTTATATCTCTTTTGACTGATGAGATGTCGATAGATGTGTTTACATCATTTCTGAACGCCACCATACACACAAAAATGATATGTCCTAGTGAAGTGTAATTATAAGTTTTAAGTTTACCAAGAATACTTCTACAAAACCCTCCGATTAATTGTTAACTTTTTTTTTCGGAATAGAATGCTCCACTACGGCCAGAGAGAAACACCTGAGCAACTGAAACCGGCTGAACGACGGATAATTACCGTTTCTCGATAGATTTTATACGTTTTGCGGACGAGTTGTTTGGTTAACTCGGATGTGGAAGCCGCTCCACTTGAATTCAGCGGTTTGGTTTCGAGAATAATGTTCACATAGTCGCACGTGATGTGCCAATGCCTGGTCATTACTGACCCGGTGAAAGGATGTCTTCACTATATACGGAAAAGATGCGTGACTTCGCTCGAGCGGGCACGATAACCCCATCTAAAGCCAGCCAATCATAAACAAAGAGGTGATAGTTTTAAACTGCTCTGCCTTCCTTTTTGTCGACAATGGAACATCGCATAATTAACGTTACTATTGTTGCCGTATGATAATTTTATGTTCTTTCAGTGAGTGGTCATAAAGACAGCTATTTTTCAGTGATCATTAAGTGAGCTTTGTCAAAGTTAGATCTCGTTATTGCGAAAAAAATGTCGAAGTACTACGAAGTCGCAAAAATTCTGGCTGTGCGTTCCATTGACGGAAGTAAAGAGTATCGGGTGAGATGGAAGGGTTTCGGAAGCAAGGACGATACTTGGGTGCAGGAAGACGATTGCAACAGCGCAATGAAGAACTATGCGCGATCTTCACTTAAAGGTGAATAAATTACAACAGGAACGAATTTACTTTGCTTGTGAAACGTGGGTTGGAAAAGACGGGGTTATCACTCAAAGCAAGAGAATGTAAACAGATTACAATATCTTGCTCATACATTAAATACTTTTAGCTTATATTCATTTCAATGATTCGTTGGGACCAATAGCACTCGAATATTATCATATAATGCATTATAAATTCAGATCAACAAAATTATGCAGGAAAAAACATTGCAGCTTTGTTTAAAGGTTATAAGTCCCCAGTATCAACAATAACTTTGATAAACATAGTATCGTCCTTTACATAAGCGTGGTTGTTTAACTGTGTCATAGCACAGAAGGTCGGGCACCCACTGGCTATGTTCATATCCCTTTTTGGTCTCTGGAATGAGGAGCTACTCGGATCAGGTCTGAAGGCGTCAACTACGTGTTCTACGTTATCCTGATCTAATAACATAAAGGTGACCTTTTGTCTAAATGGCCAGCGGAGTATTGCGTCATACTCACCGCGCATAACAACAAAGAATATTGAAAAATGTGTTCCCTTTCCGATACCATCACCGTTTAGATAGATGCGCGCGCACATCTTATAACCGTGACGACTAGTATAGAAACAGGGACTATAAGTAGATACGTGTTGGCCGGATCTCGCCTCATTACGTTTTCGGTTGAAGTCAGTAATTTTCCATAAAAGCACACCATTGTAGCTTGAGAATTGCTCTTGCCTAACGTAATCTTCTAGCTCAGCTATAGCAATGTTTCTAGCACCTAGAGTATGTTCTAGATACTCCGTCCGTCGTTGAAGTTTTCTTATCTCATCGTTAGCAGTTTTAAGCTGAGCCTCCAGTCTTTTTATTTCTCTATTCCTATTTTGCATTTCCGAGTTAAATTCAACCAAAAGAACTTCATGATTGGCTGCCTTAGCATCCTGATTGTCCAGCTTTTGTAGAATATTCACAATTTCAGCTTGCGAAGAGCGATGCGCTGATGAATTTAAGGGAGCACTGTCGGCTACCACGTCATCCATTAAATAACGCTTGATATTTTGTTCAAGATTACTTAAGCGAGTGCCATGTCCTTGAACCATTGATGTTAGGTTAGAATTTTCACCGATTATGACATCTATCTTGTTTTGTAAAGTTTTAAGGATTGCATCCATTTTAGAAATGACTCCGGCGTCAACATCGCCAAGTTTGGAATGAAACAAGTTAGACAATTGGTCCACAAACAGAAAAAGGAGTGTCAAATGATCAGATACTTGTTTATCCTGGTGTCTTCTACGTTCTTTCCTTTTCATTTCCTGCGAAAAGACACACCAACTCCCCGTTAGATCTAGATATATAGTTAATTTTTTTTAAAATGTACACACACTTTCTGATACAAATGAATTTAGTTCGTTTTTGAGAGAGGCTGATCAACCTTAGAGTCGCATCTAGAATTGTGATCGATTTCTTTAGGAACTTCATCAATCACTCCCTTTGTGTGTTTACCCGTCAAGTTGTCAAAATAAAATTGATTTACAGTAATCGTTCTCTTAATCTCTATCTCTCTCTCTCTCTCTCTCTCTCTCTTAATACTCACCCCTTTATGTTTGCATCCCACTTTATGAAAAGGACACGGGGCTTTAACAGCTTCGCAGTCTCCATTAACAGGATCAAGGTGACTCGAAAGCTGTAATCAAAACGGAACAACAATTCTGTTTATGGCAATCTATCAAAGTTTTTTTCTTTTTCAACTTCTTATTTATGTACACTACTGTGGATATCAAATTTTACACAGGCTGCTCTGTGGGTATTCAGAGACAAGGATGTGACATTTACCGGTTCTGTACAAAACCTGATCGGAAATCTAATTGAGATGCAGTAAATGTTAACAAGTTACGACTTTGTGTACAAAACAAAAGTATTGCACTATAAGAAGGATTGACTGATAACTTTACCTGCTTTCGTGGAATTTTTTCAGTTTTACATTGCAAACAATCCACAGGGTATTCTTGGCACTCCTTTTCATGATGATCCTACAGTTTACAATCAAGAATGTCAATATGAGTTTGAAATCGACTGCTGCTGTGCTAGAAATGCTAATCATTATGAATACTTGTCATGCGACATGTGGTAGCATCAGCTGGATGCTCCGTGCATCTCACCAATCAGAATTAAATCCTTACATGTTTGCATATCAAATTCAGAGCTAATTTCCATAAACTTGAGATCTTATTTACTAGGAAAGAATCGTTTTTGTTTTGTTTTTTGTTTTTTTGGCCATTCAATCTGCAGTGATTTGTTTGAAGAAGTCATGACACGTTGAATGCTATATTTTACAATTTCCATCAGCTCTAATAAGAAAATATCGGCGTGCATAGAAATTTATCAAATAATAATAAAAAAAAGACTGACCATACCTCAAGCTTATCAGCTGTAGTCTTTATGGAGCAATACCCACACTGCTGCTCTCTGAAGATACAATCCTCCACAAGGTGCCGAGATAAGTCATCTCTCTGAACCAGGGTTCCGCAACTGGGATGCACACATTGGACCTTGGCATAGGGACACTGGGCCTCGTGTTTCTGAAATGAACAGTCGCGAGTTAGAACTTAGTGTGCATTATAAGCTTCTCGACGTCTGAGCCAGATGCTGACTGTCGATGTAAAATCATAACGGCTCAGTAATCGTGACCTGTAGACCTCTCAGGGTTCCTCAAGCCTCAACCCATCTCCGTCTTTTATCCATGAACATTTCTCAGACAGTAATGCATGATTTAGGTTTATGTCTATTTTTTCATCCTTAATGCTCTTATGATCTGGGAATGCATCTTTCTAGTTAGCTTCATAGGCTCCAAAATATATAATGGAATTGATGCTAACATACCTCCAACTGCCTCAGTTCCCCACTCCACTCGCAGCCGTCGCAGTGATTTTCACACTGGACTGGTAACGACAGGATTTCACGCTGCGCAAACTTGTCTTCAAATATCTGATGGTGGGAGAAAAAAATTCCTTTTTAGATTAGTTTATCTATGTAAACACTAAGATTGAGATCGCTATTCTGGTCTCTTGGAAAGATGCACCGTTGGTTTCAAAGAGTGGGGTTGACTGTGAGCCAGGTGGCCTGGTACCCTCATGGCTTATCTTCGTTCCCGTAACATGAAGCGACTGGGAATATTACTACCCTCCCGTCCTACAATCCATGGCAGCCCTCCTCCCCCCTGCACCTCAATCAATTTGTCAAGTTATCCTAACAAGTTACCTTTCTGGCACTCTTTAATACTCACAGATGCAAAAAGAGGCTCTGAGGTAGTGGAATGCCTTGGCAAAGACACTACACAACAGAATGTCCCTGTCATTGTCGAACCTCGGCAGACCGTTCACTGTGGAGCCCTGAAAGCTAACCACTCCTGGTCACCTCTCTATCTGTAAGATAGAGACAGTGACAGTGAACCTAATTCTCCCATGAGTTCAAGATCTCCTCATGTACATCCAACTAGCTGACCTGAGAGGCACAGGTTCGAATCCTCCTTGTCAAAGCCTAAAAGTAATTTTTCGGCTTCTTCTCCCCAATTGCCTTCGATGCAGCCCACATGCTAGGTTCGTTACCGATGTTAAGTAAAATAAAGTGCAGAGCCTCCTGATTATACAATGGTGCTAAAAGGTATTTTTGTAAGAACTTTGCAAAAGATGGATTCGGTAGAAAATACTCTGCAATTAGCGTATAACTCAGTTTTCGACAAGAACAAACTGATTGTCTCACCTCTCCGAACTCTTCCCCATCCACCACACACCTTGGAGAGGGCAACCTAACGATGGAATTTGCCTGATATAAATATCATGTTGACAAAAATCAGATCGTTTGATGCTGGACCTGTTAAATGTTGCATTTGGCCATGACAGTGCTATAGGCAAATCATACTACAAGACTACCATTTCAGCTGATAGGATCTTGAACTGAGAAATTTAACAAGCACAATAAGGCGTATCACGGAAAGGAAAAACTTTCTTTCCTTTTATGTATTACCTTAACAATGACTCCACACATGACTTGCAGTAGCGATGACCGCAGCTCGTCTGAACTGGATCCCTCAATACCTTTTCACAGTGGAGGCAGAGGTATTTGGGATCAACAGACTTTCCATTCTCGCAGATGCGATCGCATGTGTAACCAGGCATGATCGGTGGATATCTAGGGAATCAATTGTAACGTTAACCTCTTAATTTTATCTCTCCGCAACGGCACACCTGGTAAGATGAAAACCATCATTTATGTAATGATTTTCCAAAGACTGAGTACTCCAATCACTGGTGGGGTTTGCAGCACACGAGCAGTGCCTAAGGTTTACGCACAACTTGAGTTAAACAGGAGATCCAGTGGGGAAAAAATCAGGCCTGAACCTCCCGTGACACGGTTTTTTTGGTCACGCAGTATTGTGTGACAACCATCTCTTTGTTATGTCGCGTGCTCGGTTGATACGGAATGTTTATAATTAATGACTTTCGTCTAATGCAAATTGTCGTTGGTGTGATCAACTCAAGCGGTGTGAAATATTTTTAAGTTAAGTTTCATTCCCAGTCAGATGTATTTTTGCTGTCTGTGCCGCAGTCTGCTTTTAAATGCAAATTAATCGCTCAAGATATGGAAAAGTTCGAGAAAATGTTAATTCAGCATACTTCCCGCGCGCGCCATTTCTCGTCTTTCGTTTCAAGGAATGAAACTGCCTGTGGAAGATTGAGGGGCCGAAATAACCAGTGGAAAAAATAAATTTTGAATACAAAATTATATTGCAAAAACTTGGAAGAATAAAAGCAATGCATTTCAAAGATGTGAGCTATGGTTAAATACATAGGGCAGGTTTAAATTTGTCAATTTCATCTCACTACTAAGGAGAAATTTTGCCTTAAAGGCTTGCATTTGTGCCTAACAGAAATTTAACTTACCAACTGTAAACGCTAAAACCTGTTTTACCGAGTCCGTGTGCAAAATCAGCGACGACTGCTTGATAACCGATACTACTTTTCGATTTAAATAGTGTTGTTCGCACATGACGTAGTTGTAGGGGTTTACCCAGGGAAAACCCCCTGAAGAACGTGATCGAAATATGTTAATCCCTGCCTCGCCTTTGCAAAGAATCCATTGACAAGCATCTTTCAATTTCTGACTGTTTCCCCCACTTTTCTCGATCATACATAATTCGGTTCATTGCTAACGTGAAAGTGCTCATTCGGCCCTCTCTGAAATTCTTACCGACATTTTCGAACGTAAACTGTCAATTTTAGATTTCATTGACTTACAACATCCATTGTCATATGTATCGTGGGAAACCCTGCCTCTCTGCAAAGCCTTGTTTTCTATTTACGAGCCAAAGGGCAATATTTCGACAAATTAAGAGTCAATAAGAATTTTTAGTACGCTTTTGATACCTATAGCGTTCCAGCTAACTCAAGATAACCAAAGTTTTTCGGAAGGGAGATTAGTGCTATTTTGACACAAATTACATCAGAGGAGCGGGTTCGAGCTCATAATTGTTGTTTATCAAAAGTCGAGAGACATCTATCAATTTTGACGTTGTATATTTTTATCCCCCACTCGCATCTCCGATATCAATGGAGGGTTTTCCCCTAAAAGCCCCAAGTTCCTTCCTTTGCCACTTTATTTGCAACGCGTCCGCATCATTTCGAGCTATATCTCATACAAAATCGAGAAATCCAGCGATCGAATCGCGATAGATTGATAGATGTGTAACTGGTAAAATATAATCATCATGCTATTTGCTTCTTTCTGAAGAATCCTAAATCCTGAGTGGCATCAAAGGTAAAAACAAAAACAATTCATACCTTCGAAACTGACCTTAAGACCTTGTTAGGAAATAATCAAGGCCACAACAATACTTACATATAAAAGAAGTAATGAACCATGATATATGCATGCTTTTCAAAATGTAGAATTCAAAATTAGCAGAAGGGGCAAACCCCATTATTTGGTCACGCAGTCCCGTAGTCCCGTTTTAAATTTCGTTTTCGTTTTCATGTTCATTTGTCATTTTTCTTTGTAACCACTAACAAGAAAGGTTACTGAAAAACTATGAAAAACAATTCGAGGTCAGAAGAAGAATTAAGAAAATGGTCAGAAACTTTCATAAATATTATTACTAGTAGTGCAGAATACACCGGGTAAATTACTGCCACTCGCTGAAAAGTGGAGGGTTCTGTTGTCAAATATACAAACTTTAATTACTGACGCTTTGTAAACGAAAAAACCATTAAACCATTAAGCAAGTTTTGAATTTTACAAGGAAAATGTAGTCAAACCCTCTGTTGATGTCAATGGTCTTATCTTTAATTTTTTCGGAAAGGAAATAATCCCTGCTGCCGGTCAAAACTGAGACCGTGGAGGTGACCGAATGACATATTATTTATACTGATTCTGCATATAGTCGGAAGTAAAGTTGCAATTCAGTTGCACTTCACTTCAGCAGTTTGGTTTTAATACTAAGCGATGATCATCATTGATGGCCAACTCGTATGATCGCGTGAATGACTCGTGTACCAATGTTCACATGGTCACGCGTGAAGTCTAGAGGAGTTTATACCCTTCACCCTCCCACGACTCGTGCAATTTAATTTGAGAACGTTCACATAAATACTCAAACAATAAATCGCAAAATAGCAACCAGTGCAAATGCACGAGTGGTACATGTGATTCATTAGGTGTACTTGGAGATTAAACACGCTTTAAACAGGCCGTTGGAGAACGGTCTGTTTATCAATTTCTTTTCTTTTATTAAACTTCTTATCTTACCTTCGGGAAGAGGGAGATGAGAAAATATTGAGGCTGAAGGCCAATGTCCAGTCATGACTGACCTGGTGAACAACGGATGTCTAAACTATATAAGCAAACGATGACAACAGAGATTTTGGTCCGAGCGGGCAAAATAACCTCATCTAATTCCAGCCAATCAAAACACGACATTTGTTCCATCTAAGCAAAACTATCAAAATTATGAATGAACCTTGAACTCGTAATGCGGAAATAGTTCTTGAGCTCATGCTCACATGTTCAGCTTAGTAATTTGGCACTAGTGTTAAGCACCAACTACAATAGGGCCATTTATCATATCTTATTTTTTATTTGTATCATTAGAACCCAAATTTCTGCGCTATGTGCATCATAAGCTGAGGAAATAATTGTTAGAAGAGAAAATTGGTGTCGCATGATCTGTGTAATATTAGTTCCATTTTAAATGCTAGGCAGTTTTATCAAAGAGCCATACAATTTATGGTCTCGTTTCAGATCATTTGCTTTAGGGACATCATTTGCTTTAGGGACATGAGTTTCATTTCCCAACACCACTGACGTTCAGAAAATGCTTAAACCTACACAAGTTTCAACAAATCATTCATTATTTTCATTATTCGACTGATATTTACATGACCCCTCAGTAAAATACTCAAGAGAATTCTTTCTCTTTGACGTCAACTAGGTATTCGTTCCTATAGTGATTCAAGCTATATGATAGAACATAATGGTAGGTGCTTGCTCAAAAAAACAAAGCATAATAAAGAAAAATTAGGTGTCATCCAACAAATCATTCATTATTTACATTATTCGACTGATATTTACCCGATGCTGTTAAAAAAAACAAAAAACATGACCCCTCAGTAAAATACTCAAGAGAATTCTTTCTCTTGACGTCAATGAGGTATTCGTTCCTATAGTGATTCAAGCTATATGATACAACATAATGGTAGGTGCTTTCTCAAAAAAACAAAGCATAGTAAAGAAAACTTAGGTGTCATCCTATCAGAGATAAACGCGTGAAATACTGACTGACCGCTCGTGCATCGACCCAGAGACTCAAGGTACCGAGCAATTATAAGATCAACCAGACATCAACACTCTCGCACAATAGATATCAGCTTCCGGCACTCGAGCCGCTCGACGTGAACAAGGAAAGGAATTGTAGATTGCGTATACAAGAGCAAGTCGATGGAATTCATCAGTGTAAACATTATTCTGGCAATCATTCTGTCATTGCTAACAGCGGTTGTTGTCTTGCTTATTGTAATTTTGCGCAATTCTCGCGGTGCAACGAAAACCGTTGCACCGATACAATGGAAAGAGAAAGAACCAGAAGAAAACGATGAGCGGTTTGCAACAGGTTAGAGCACTTCATTTGCAGTGAGTTAGAAGCAGCATGTATGAATTATTTCTACAGAAGGCGCTAGCAGTAAACAAACCTGCACCTCTTTTTTCCACTGCCCAACGAAAGTTCAGTATAACTGTATTTTACAGATCTTTGTTTTCGGCTTAGACATCAAGTTATTGCCCAGAGCCGTTTCGTTGCAAGCGCGCGTCAGTGAAACTTTGCTGCAGGCGTGTCATCGCCATAAGCAAGAAGCTCAAGCAATGCGTGTTCTTCTATGCAAATTTGACAATGGACAAGTGATTGCATGAACATGATAAGTCAGCAAAATATTTGTTGAGGTAGTCCGTAAGTCACTATGAAGGACTTCCAGGTCTTCAACCAAAGTCAGAGAATTCTGAGTATTTTAAGACAAAGACATTAGTGGATGATCTTCATCAACCTTTAAGATAATTATAATACCGAAGTTATTGGCTGAAATACATCGCGCAAAATGAGTATCTCAATTTATTATCAAGGCTCTATCTTGTAACACAATTGAAAACATTTAATTTATATAATCAACGGTTTTAAGACAGTACTTCACATGATCACACGGTCTTTTAATTGTTGCGGATGACTAAGGCGATAAATGACACCAGCAGATCACAGGAAACATTTTTGCGTTTAGGAATCTGTGTTTTTCAAGTTTCGTGATATATCTGAAATACCTCATAAATTTGAAGTACGTCGAGGAACTATTCAGTGAACCCCTTGAAAACCTTGTAAGAGTCGCATTCGGGTCAAGTTCTTATGCGATGACGTGTTTCATCAATGAGTCACTGTTTGAAAAAAATATGTTGATACTTTTGAGAAAAAAAAACAATTATTATTTTTTTTACGGGATTGAAGATTGCCAATCTACAAAGAAATCCCAAGTTATTAGACGTCCATAGTAAACAAGATAAATATGAAGAGGGCAACTCTTTCGTGGCAGTTTACATAAGGATATTGATATGATAGCAATTTCAAATCACGCTTCACATACCTTGAAGTGGCAAAATATAATTTTATGTAATTATATTTGCTTTTGAATTGGTTTGGTAATTGTTTGAACATCTCTTTCTCAATTAGAAGGCTCACGAACAATCAGCATATTTACTTGCAAGTTTGATGAAAAGCACTGCACGTAATACAACAAAAATACCACTTCGATGAAAAACTTATTATTAACTACGCTTCGGCATTAATATGGTGAACGCGTTTTGTCATCGTGTTCAACCATTACACATGATAGAATTTTAGTGAAGAATAACCATTAACTCCTTTTTAAGAGAAAATATACTGCGCCGGCCACTTATTGTTTGGCTGTTAGTCGGCCCTTGTACGGCTGAAACCAAGTTGATTTTCGATTTTCTGCTTTGCTGTTTGATTATTTAATTTGATGTTTTTGTTTGTTTGTTTGCTTTTTTGCATAAAAATCAGGAATTCGCCGCCGCTGTTCGCATTAAGATAATGAAGAGAACAACCCACATTTGAGCTTCTTTTCGTTAAAGGTTTTTAACAGTACAGAGGCTAACAAGTCGCTTTAAGACACGGAATCCGTGTTAAATAAGATTATGCAGTGCCGTAGCAGGGTTAAAATTATTGGGGGGGCCTAACCTTCATTTTTACTGTTCTACTCTTGTGTTCAATATATATTTTTTGGAGTTTGCCAAATTATTGGGGGGGCCCGGGCCCCCCCGGCCCCTCCCCACGCTACGGCATTGTTATGGTAATGTTTAGTCTGTGCCGCATTGCTTCAAAGTGAATTGACGCCATACTAACGCCGAATTGACGTCATAGTCGAGAGATTTGTTAAGGAAT